CTTCGGTTTGTTGTCTTTGATGAAGATATGTTTGGTGAACCTAACTTCATTGGCCATGCAATATTTCCCATGTGCAGTCTGAAGACAGGTTCGTACTTTGTGTAGTTCTCTGAATGGAAGCAACAATTGATCTTTGGTAAATTAATAGGCCAAGGGCCAGTTAAGGATTAATTTCACAGTAGCAAGGTGGACCTACTAAAAGGATTGTCTTTGCTTATAAAAATTGAATAGCTCAGTTTTAATCACCTGAGTTTGCACAGCTTGCTACTTCATGAAAAAAGTTTTCATGTTAAAATTCACTTTATTTCTACAATTTTTCTAACTTAATTGATTTCATTCTGTTTTTGTTTGGATCCAGGATACAGATCTGTCCCTTTGAAGAATGCATACAGTGAGGAATGTGAACTTAGCTGTTTACTGGTCCACATTGACATCAGAAGTGCAATGGTATGTACATGTTACAGCTTGTTGTGTTACTCAGATTGGTTTTCTGTTCACAGTTTAATGAAATCAAAGGTTTTTCATTTATACTGGTTAACTAAACTAATGAGGACTCTAATATGTAGCTGACTTGTCGGTAGTGGTCTTTGTGATCTAGAAATTGGAGCACCAGCTGGAAGGGAAGGGGGAAATGGCTATAGAGTATACTTAGTTTCTTGTTATCCTGCACACCTTAAACTTGCCTTAACTGTTTGTTTTTTCTTATGATGATTGGGGACAAATCAACCATAGGAGGGCATCATTACATTTTGACTTCAAATGATGAGAAATCATGTTTTGTTTTGATGATGCAGGGTGGTGATGAGAACTTGTATGCATCAATCCAAGTTCTTCGAGATCGTGTAGAAGAGATATCCAATCACATGGAAAATGAAGAATTGAGAGCACGTGCAACTATTGCAAATTTACTGAACCAGCAGAATGGACCCACGTCACTGGAGGCACAGCAGAGAATCCAAAATGATCATCAGCATCAAATGGAAAACCTTGGCAAACAGCTCAGACAGCAACAAGATGACTTGCGTAGACTACAGAAAGAAAGAGCTGCTAGGTTTGTTGACTGATGGCCATCTTCTAGTAATAGTGAATGTACCATTTGGTTATAAACTTTTAAATGCCATGATTGTTTTGTGATATATGTTATGAGAATGACCAGATGATAACAGCTACTGTATATTCTATTATTGACATATGTTTAAAACTCACATATTAATGGCTGAACCCTTGACTCCACACAATAATAGGATAGGTTAATCAACAAACATTTTCTCAAGCATAGATGACTGAGAAAATCCCCAGGTGGTGTGCTTGGGAGCCTTTTTGGGTGGTTGTGTACCATAAAGATGTAGACTGGAAATTTTATTACGTATAAAATGATGGCCAGATTTAGGAAAACAATCCATTATTCAAGTCCCATTAGGTCTCACTCCCTTTTGAGCAGAAGTTATTATTTTCAGCCATTTTTTTAACCAGCATTGTACACTTGTCCATTTGATTTACCAGACTTCACTCAAAAATTGTCTTGTTTTCAAGGGGGTCAAATTTTCATCTAATGATTTCAGGGTAACAGTAGATTCTTGATGATACTTTTTCAGGGCTCCAGGCCGTGTGATGTTATCAAAGCCAAACCGTTACACAAGGAATTCTTCATCTTGAGTCCATCACTATGATAGCTGAAGTGCAGACTATTTTAGTGTAATTATTACACTCAAAAAATTGTAGATCTATGAAAGGTTGATTTTAGACTTTGATTATGTAATGCTTGTTATTAATAGAACTAAATGTGAATGTATTTAACTTTTTGAAAGTTGCATTCGTTTTGCCTTGATTGTCTAGAGGTAGAAATTCCTGAATATCACCTTGAAAAGTAGTTACTTAGCCTTGTCTGCACAATGAAGGAATTGAATTTGAAATATTTGAAATTGTAAGCAATTTATATGCTGATGGAAATTTGTCACAAGGAACAGGCATGGTAATTGTTGATGAAAATAATGGGTTCATTTTCTGTGCCATTAAATGTAAATATGAACATCAAAATTACATCTAAAAGGAATTTAGAATCAGTTTTAGTCAATAATATAATTGGAGAATAACAGTGCTATTTCATGAGTAGGGTTATTTGTTTTGATTATCAATAATCTCTGAACTGATCATTGGTTTTGATTTTGTTTATCAGATGAGAAAAATCATAAAATATTGTCTGTGCTGTATTTCAAAATTTGTATTAGAGAATAATTGACTTATCATTAACTTAGAAGGCAAAAATGTTGCAAAGAAAACAAGTAATTGTCTTAATTGATGCAAGCATGTATTATTCAATTCTACATTTTATGTGTCAACATTCTTTGTTTATGAAAACCCCAAATATATACAGTGTTAGGCCAGAAAGATGGATAAGCTTCACATTTCATAAACCACAAAAATTGACTTGCCAGTGCTGAATATTTGTGTTACTCTTGTGCATTACTCTTGTTTTGAAATATCACCCTCTCCCTTCACACATGTGATCTCGTATGGGGTGGGTGTGGAATTTTGGAACACATCTGCAGTTTAATAAGGGTAGATAATTATGTTTGCATAAGTGGTATCCAAGTCAACAATAGCAGAATTTAGTGAATCAATATGTATGAACATGTAAGACCAAAATCTCTTACTGCTGGATGTAATGCAGCAATTATTTGAAGGAAAGAATGGTAGAACAGATGTTTCCTTGTAAATTTGAAATAAATAAGAAGCAATCGGTATCAAGATAATGGCCAAGATACAAAATAAAGCCAAGTCACATCATGTTTTGTAGTTTTTTTGATTGATGTCTGACAGATGAGATATGCCTCTCTAAGGCCTTGATTGAAATTAACTTCAGTGAATTAATACTAAGAATTCTCTTTTCTGTGGTTGCTGTGTAGTTCCATACACTCATATTACTCCACTCTCTCTTTCCTATGATGGCTGGGAAATGGAGATATTCACAGGAGTGCACATAGAAGTTAGGTAACTTATTGTTTCAGTGAGGACTTGAGTAAAAAGACCAGTTAGAGCTCTCTACATCTTGAGTGTCATTATGCTAAAAAGATAATGATCCTGACTCAATCATGAAAAGAGACATGGGACAAGAAATAGAAGTCATACTCAAGAAACCAAAAGTTCAAGGTTACAGGTTTTTACCATTCAGGTCAATTACCAACTTTTGTTTTTCCTTTGGATGAAAAATTAAAGTAACTTTTGAAGGTGTTTCAGTGATTGTGGGAAAAGATTGGAAAACCCAAAACAAAAACCAAGCAGATTATGTGAGTTACTACCATGCTCATTGAGAAAAATAACTGAACTGATGACATTGATGTGACTGTTGGATAATTATGAGCCACCTTTAAGGTGTTCATGGCACAAAGGATTATTCTTTTGCAATAAACTAGAGCAAGAGCTGTTTGTGAACCTCCTACTGTAGTTTTAGGTGCTGGCAGGTGACTGAATTGTTATTAAAATCCAATTGGAAAAAATTCATAATCAAATTGCAGCACATCTGAAGAAGAGCCTCGCTTGTCTAAGTTACTCTTGGTATCTCAAATTGCAAGAGGTTTGTAATTTCTATTTGTAAGAATTGAAACATTTACACTGTAACTCTACTGTGAAAAGCCATGCATTGGATAATGTAGTGATCATAATGATTTTTTTCAGGCATGCATCTTCTTCCCTAAATAGGTTGGTGGTGCATGTGATTTTTCTTGATTAAATACAGAGTCTAAGGAAGGAAAAGCGATGTGATTCCAGGTTACTTTCAAGACTTGGATGTAAACTGCTTCCTTAAAAAATATAGATCTAAAGGGGGGCACTAGTAGGAGAGTAAATGAATATTGAAAAAGGATTATAGTGTATATAGTGTGCTAACTTTACAGCAGATATGCTCGACATCTGTATGATAAGAAGAAAAGAGTTAAGCGAAGAGACGATGTGTTGATGAGAAAACTCAGTTGAAAGATTGGTTGATTTTTAAGCTGACAGATGGTCAATAGTCTAGTGATGGAAATTACACTGACAAGGAGAAACGACATGTAAGGAGCACGGTTCGCAGTTGTTTTGATACAAAGTTGTTTGATTCAAGTCATTTTGATACAAGTCGAGGTCGATTTGTTACACATGTAAAGTCGATTTGATACAGACTGAAGTCCTTTCAATACAGAAGTAAACTTGAGAAAAGTTCAGTATGTGTGTGTTAGTTTTTGTCTTTGATATGTGTGGTGATTTATTGTTTTCTATTCAACAAATAAATAAATAAATCTCTGTTCTTGACAACTAAACTTAACCAAAACTTGGTCTCGTTTGTGTGTTCTCATTGTGTAGGAGGCTTTGGTACATGTAGAGTTTCCTGGAGGTACGGGTTTGTTTTATTTACAACGGAGGTTTGTGTTTGCTCTAGTAGAGTGGTTTGGCAAGAGGATGAGAATATTTGTTGACAACGGCGCATGTAGAAGAAATGCCATTGAGAAACTGGGTCCAGAATGTCACCCCATTGTGTCTCAGAAGTGACTTAGCAGTTGTTGCAATGAACTGTTAACATTATATTTGTTCTTGAATTCCCTAACCTTGGATCTTTTAAGATCACCATCACCTTTGAATTTTTGGTCTTATAGACCACTTTAAGGACAAGGAAATTATCTTCTTTGAGAGTTATGCAACAAGTGCAAACAGAGGATAGTTATAGATACACACACTTTTTCCTGTTCTGAAATGACGTTCCCTTCCTCTTGCTAAATCCCTCTAGTTGCTTATGGTGAGTATTTCTTTGAGGGTTTGTTTGGTCATTTATATATAGTATAGTATTCTGTATTAAACAGTAACGTCAGTTTGAAATAACGTCAGTTTGTATCAAATTGACTTTACATGTGTAACAAATCAACTTCGACTTGTATCGAAACGACTTGTACCAAAACGACTTTGTATCAAAACGACTGGATTCCAGGAGCACAGAACTTGTATACTACAGGTAGCCTGTGAGTCTATGCCATTGTTAACATTATTTGAATCAGGTGGTACTGAGTGGGACTGTTGACTCGTATATCATGATCGACTGACTGTTGAGCAATGAAAGTAAACTGAAGCTTTGTCAAGGCTACTCAAAGTACACATGATCCACGCATCTAAGAGAAAAAACTCTAGTTCCCTGACAAAGGTACGTTATAATTTGGTTTTATCAACTGAAGGTATTGTATGTTGTAGATCAATATAGCCCGCATTTGTCCATAGTTGTAGTCTGGTTAAGACTAAGAAAAATCGCAGATATAAAGACAATCATTCAAAACTGAAATTCGAGGAAGACATACTACTTCAATTGAATATAACAAAAACATAATAACTGTATATTTTACGAGGATTTTTTAAACTCTGTGGCTTCTTCTTTCTGCCACTTTTCAATAAAGTGCAACACTTGTTGAGCTTCTACAAGCTCCTTGTGTATAAAATACTTTCGTCCATGAGCTTCAAAGGTAGAAAAAGCTCTATCGTCTGGGTATACAAAAGTGTCATCAGCAGGAAATTCCACTCTTTTTCGAAACGCAAGTAAAGATAACGTCTCAACAGCGAACATCATTTCCTTTGGATTGAAGTCCATCTTGAGCACATAGGATTTGGTTACAAAATGAAGTAATGCAGTTGAACCTGTACCAATCGTACATAATAAAAACACTGCGATCGTCTTCACTGAGGCCGAAGTTGCTTGATTTCCAAAAAGCACCAACAATGGAGAACAAACTAAAGTCGCCGCTGCTGTAGTCAGGGAAAGCAACTTTACAAGTTTGACTGATCTTGAGATTGGACCTTCATACACAGTTTTCCAGTCGCTTGATTGATCAGTCATACAACGGTACTGCCAACTTGCCGGCCGCAGAACAGACTTAGTCCTAGGTAATACTTCCTGGTTAACATTCACTGCACTAAAATGCTTTATCCATCTGATTGTGTGTAGAGAACTGAAGTTTGATGATCGAAATAATGGCTTTCTCCCTAAAATACAAAACATGTCCACACGATGACTTGTCTGTTCTACTTGTAAACACGTGCATCTGGAAAGCCGCTGACCTGCCTTAATATTATCACGTGATCCGATCTAAACCAATGAATATAAAGAATATAGAAAGTTTGTCCGCCATTCTCGAGTGGAATGGAGACCGATGAAACATATTATTCCTTTATCGTAAATGGATTGTGAAGAAATCTTGGGATGTTTTGATGCTAACCATTGATAACCATATTTTGTAATTGATCAGTTTGGAGTTGACTTGGTGAGTTATAATTCGGTTCATGGTCTTCGCTATAAATCTTACATTCAACTTGATAATCTGGATGATTTGAAGCTAAGACCTTACATGGTTTGAAAACATTGTTTGTAGTTTCTTTTTTAAATTGTTTTTTATTTTCGGTTGTAGTCGGTTCTGTCTGTTTGTATGGAGTTGATAGCTCCGTGAGATTTGCGAGGCTTGCTTACTGTTTGGCGGACTACCTTTATAATTGGAAGTGGTTCAACCACAGCTTTTGGATCGAATTAATCACAATCATTTAGTTATATGTTGTATTACAGCTAAAAATCTGCGTGTGTCCCAGCTGCTCGTGGATCATGCACAGAAAAAATGCCAAGAAAAATGAATTTATGATAACTGTCTTCATATTGAATTTCAACTTTTCATTAGGGTTCTGTTAGAAATTTTGTTTACAAACCAAGTATTATGGATTAGTTAAACCGTAGATTAATTAAACCTCGTTTCAAAACCA